TTGCGTTTTCAATTGAAGTAACGCGTCTCCACACCCCTGGTAGCGTTGAGCGCTTTCGGAGAAATCCTCCATTTATATTTCAATGTCATATCCGTCACGTTTCGTCGCAGTCAGTTGTCAAGAGGACCTCCAAGTAGCATCTCCGCTTGCACGCCTCCTACTGCGCGCCCCTGCGTCACTACACAGTGGCCAGAATTGGGAATTCCGATTGGGGTAGGGTTTAGGACACTTCACAGGGGTTAGAGTAGCCTCTGTGAAGGATGCAACCTTGTTTTGTTGTAACAAATTTCACATGAGGTTCTACGGGGTTTCTATGGGAATCGAATCCGGAATCTCAGTGGTGGCGTTTTGCCACTGAGCCACGAGAGCATTCTGGAGAGGTTTTGAGGTTAATTGCATCTGCGGGAGACTAAATGGACAACACACCGTTCAGGACCCACAAAGTATGGTAAAGATGCTATTGGAGAACGCCGTTGGCACAATGAATCGAGAAAAGCATGCACATATAAGAAGGGCCCACCATACACGATCGAATTCAATACAGAACTTCAATCAATCGACTTCAGCGCAGAAGTACAAGGATACTCTTGAGCTAGTACAGAACACAGTTCAACGACTCATAGCACGCTCTCTGTTTTGGACACAGTTAAAATTACAGAGGAAGGAACTTTATATCGAGTCCTTCACTCAATGCTTGAGACGGCTTTTATTTAACGAAGCCTATCAAGCCTTTGAAACCAACGAAGTTCCGGCAACGCTAAAACAATCAGTTCGACACGTCCTCACTATCCACCGAAAATCCACAACAGGCACATACGCATACTAGCAGTAAAACGCGAAATGCGTGCGAACTGCAACCCTACAATAACACAAATCGACTAAGCCAAAAAGAAGATCGACTTCAACAATGAGCAAATTGTTATCCTCATTTTGCCGCACCCAGTAAGCGCAAAAGCGTGTGGGTAAATTGTCCAACAAAGAATCTTATACTAAACTTCTTATCAACACAATATTCTGTATATTTTCATGGAAATATTCTGTACAAGTATTGAAAATTGAAAATATTCTCATTTGTATATGCAGCTCATGCGATTTTATACCGATTCGTGATGTTATAAAGTTCCCTTGTGTTTCAACTTCTCTCGTTTGCGTGCTGCCGATGTCGTCGTTCATGAAGTCTGCCGTTGTTTGTTTGTGACGAGTGTTTTTCGAATTTAAGCTTCAACTTCACTTGCAGTGGAGCAAATAAAAGCGGAAGCGTTGCATTCAACCAATCCAATCTTTCATTCAACTTTATTTCTAATATTAAAATCGTAGCTTCAATTAATTTAACTCATATGACATTTGGACTACTTATTGCTAGCACAAGAATATAATGTTCTTCAATTTTTGTGCTGTACAATTTACAATGTTACTGTTTGTGAACTAATTTATATTTAAATTATTTCCAACAATTTTAACCCTACTTGTATAAATTAGTAAAAGTTAAATTGCTCAAAGAAAGCTCATATAAGTTTGAATTTTTCTGTACTCACAATAAAGTTTATTGTTTTTCATATTTGTTGACATACAACCAAATGAAAAAATGTGTCAAATGATGAAAAAATGGGTTTAGTTTCTGCCACTTATTATATGAGTTATCATCTCCAGAATACGCCCTATGTAATCTGGGGATCGTACGTAATTTTTCTTTAGTCCAGGATGCCATACCCTATCATAAACCTAGGCAATATCTACGAATGCAACTACTGAGTGCTGTTTTCGATGAAAGCTATCAGCAATATATGGGCCATTCCACATCAAATCCCACAAATTGAAGGAAAATTTGACCTTGATGTCCCAGATTTTTAAACTTTTCATCTGTGAAGAGTATAAGCAAAAATATGAAACACATGTTTTCCACTTTTTCCCAAATACTGTTTACGAGATGAAATTAATTTTCAAAATTTTTGAAAAAATGCTCGCATCACTAAAGTTAATCATTTTTAACTTGTGTTGTAATTATAACATAAATTTAGTATTTTGCTAAATTAAATAAAAAATATCCTTTTTCTTTTCATGTATATTTTGAATTCATAATTTGTTTTAAAATGCATTTTTTGACCTGTTTATTTTATATTTTAAATTTCTCTCAAAACTCGACAGTTTAAAAATTTGAAAAATACCATTTTAATCTTTGAAAACTTTTACGTAATTGTGTAAAGTTTGAAAGGGAGATTGACTTAATTTGATTTGATTGACTAATTTAATTTTGAGAAATTAAATGCAATAAAAATTGGTACGTGCTGTTTTGCTGCAGTGTCCGCTAGTTCGTCACCCCTCAAGCATGTGCCAATCAGCAGTTGTCGATTACTATCAATATACTATCACAGAGAAATGAATAGAAATATCCCTTCGCATCTTACGACGTGCCGGATACATACAGATGACTCTTATAGCCGATGAAATTCAAATTAAGAAAAAGTGAAACGAATTCAATTAAGTATCAAACGGACGGAATATTCACATGAAGAAGATTAAGTAGTACAGTTAATTAAATTGATATTTCTTTTACTTCATTTTGCAGACAATATCGTTTATTGACTGTTCCGTAATGAAATGAAAAAAATATTTTCTTTGAGCTTTCTAGTGTTTTTTATTATATCACTGTTAAAATAGTCGCTCTTTCTGAGGATTATTTAGCGTTGATGAAAATATAAAATTATTGTTCTTCACATTATCATCAGCCCACTTAAATAACTTCCTGGCTAAAGTAATAGTTGTCTGTCAGGATTGAAGGCTAGCTTTTATTGGGAATATTGTAGTTGAAGTAGTAGGAAGTAAAGTAAGTAAACGATCTGAAACTAGGGATGAAACATCTATGTTTTCAAAACATCGATGTTTCAATAAAAATATGTTTTAAACATCGATGTACTAAAACCGATGTTGTTTGAACTCTGATGTTTTGTGCTCCTAGTTTTTACGTTTTTGATGCTTTGTTCGTAGATGAAAAAGACTCACAACCACAATTATATAGAAGTTAAAATATGAAATAATAGCTGGTGGTACCACTGTTTATATGTACGAAGCAAACGAACACGGTTCGAACTACCTTCATGGAATAGGCCCTCGCCCAAAATAATCCTGATGCTCTGGTATTTTCATCGTCTTTACTCGCATTTTTAACATGAGAGGCGTTTTTATTGTTTCCAGTTAATATTAAATTATTAATTAATATGCGAGCCTTCTGATGTTTCGTTATACCTTTTCCTTGAGATAATACGTTCTTGAAACATTGCGTACAGGGGACCAAGTCTTGAAATAAAGTATTTCATCACAGTTCACTTTTATGACAGTGAATTGATTTAATTTGTTTAATTTCATTATTCTGTGTACTAAGCAGGTTGGTAGATTCTGGCAGAGAGCCAAATCTGTCTTATATCTGCTCCAAAATTCCTTTCGCATCGTACTTCCTACAGAATATACACGAAACACTGCGACGCTACTCGTGGTTTTACAAATGGTCGATTCATTTTGTCCCCAGTGCGTTATTTACCGTAGGAGTATCCTAATAGGTCTCGTAGCGGCGATTGATGGCAGCCTAGAAGAGAGTTGGGTAAAACCGAAGAGTTTGAATTTGTTGCTGAGAAAATATAAAAAAATGTTTTTCTATTAGTACTCATTATTTTATTATTTTTCATTTTTTTCAATGATATAAAAGCCGTCGAAAAGAATTAAAATTAAAAAAAGTTTTCGGTTGTAGAAAGGTGTGGGTGGTGGGGAAGGGACCAAGAAACCATTCAAAAATATTATTTTTATGTTACAGTTATGGTGTGTACTCACATGTCATTTGGTTCTGAGGAACTTTTTACCATCTTACTAGGGGTACCCGTTTTAGCGGTAACATGTGTTCGTGAACATTTTTTAAATAAATTAATTTAATTTAATAATACTGATATTCGTTTGTGTCAACTGATAACTACCTTTAGATTTCTGAGAATGTTATTTACTTTTATTCAAACAATCTTAAATGAGAAAAGGCGACTGTAAGAAAATTTATTCAAAGTTATTATCTTACTTTGATCAGTATATTTTTTCCGCATCAGTCCTAGTTTTTGACGAGATTTTCTTATTTATATCATTTCTGTTCTATGTTTTATTGGAATGGCAATGTATTGTAAGCTCCAGCACTTGCTACTGCAGTCCACTATTATGGTAATTAATAATTTAGTGGCTGAGAAAAAATGTATCTCATCCGGAACATTAATAATTATATTTTTGTTAGATTATTATTTATAACTTAGTGTCTGTTTTTCTATCAATTGGTATGTACATTTTTTATGGTTTTTAAAGAATCAGAATTTTAGCCACTTTGGATGAAGATTACTTACGTGTAATCTTTGTGACAAGCGTTCTACTTGATTTATTGAAATCTGTCGTCAACCTAACAATAATGGTGATGGATTTTGTAAAGGTAAGACGCAAATACATGTTTAGAATGGCGTTGGTTACCCTTGAGAGTCTGTTCTCTTCGTAGACTTTACATTTTATATACACGATGTTTTATGTAAATCTCGAAGGCGAAAGTCTACAAGTTACTTTGAAAATGTGTTGGAAATTATACGCTGATCAGACTCATTAGCTGATCGGAGGTGTTTTATTTGTATGTTAACCCTGTAGCCACAGGCCGGAGCCGAGTCGTGAAATTCTATACGCGTAGGGAAGTTTCACTGTGTTTTGCAAGAAATTTATTTTATTAAAGTAAGATTGGCAAATAAGACGTCTTTCCAGTTGTGAGTATTCATTGTTCATGTTTTCAAAAGTTCTGTTAAATTTTCTACATCAAACCATACTTCACTTTTAAAATACGTGAGGGTGGTACTGTGACAGAAGAAGGAAATATGGTGTCGATTCCCGGTAAGTAAACAATGTCCCTTTTTCTAAATAACATCTCCGATTTACACGTGTCTGCGTGGCCCGACAAGTGAAGGAATCCGCCGGCCTTCGCGTGGGGCGCAGCGCTAGCAGCCGGTGGTGGAGGTGTCGACGGAGGCGGCGTCCGCGTGCGCGTCGCGTGCGTGGGCGTGGGCGGGGCGCTGGGCGTCGGCCTGAGCCGCCCTGGCCGCCCGCGCCGCGCGCGCGCGCACCGCCCGCAGGGCCAGGCGGGCCGCCTGCGCCGCCCGCCCGGGCCACGTCCAGCGCCCGGCGCTGAGCCACAGCACGGCCAGCGCGCGCGCCACGTCCACCAGCGTGGCCGCCATGTGGAAGACGAAGGTGAGCTTGAGGGTGCTGGCCCACGTCTGCAGGTAGGTGGCCTCGTCCCAGTCGTGCGGCCGCACCGCCCACACCGTCACCTCCAGCGCGATCTCCGTCACGCCCGCCGTCAGCAGCAGCTTCACGTACAGACGCGCGCTGCAACACGGCCGTTGGTTAGCGCTCTTTCAATTTCTCGCGGAACACATACTTAGAATTGCGAAAGTGTTTTAATGCAGCAGGCGAAAACGGTGACTTTTCGATTCTTCTCGTATTCATGATCTCTAATACCGAAAAAATAGATAATTCTTGTCCTTGTACTTGATATGCCCATCTGATAGGTTGTGCAGTCAAGAGTCCTCGTTTTCTTAGTCCACGATTACGAAAAGATGCTTGCGGCAAAAGGTCTGTCCGTCTCTGAATATGCTAGTGGCTAAATTATAGGCTTGGCCCCTGGAATTTTAAATGTATATTTTCAAATTTTGAGGAGGGAGGATTTCATTTGAGGCCCCAACGATATTTTCAAAAGTTTCTCAAAAATATCTCTTTTTTTCTTAATATTACTTCTCGAATAGAGCAAAGTATGCTTATAAAAATGTAGCCGGTTAATTTTCGTTGAACTCTCTGATTTTTTGGGAAATTGCAAAATTATATAAAAATGGCACATGTCTAATTTTTATTGAACTCTCTATTTTTTCGAAAATAGAAAATTTCACCAATAATGTGAGAAAGTATGTTTGGATGTAGCTTCACTAGCTACTTTTATTATCGTTCATTCCTTCTTAGCACTTATTTCTTTCCAATCACAATGGTAACATTCACATTCTTATTAAGTGATTCAGAATTCCTGACAGTACTCTACGATTCTTTCGGCTTCACAAATGATGCGAGATGTGTTTAGTGCGGGCGGCCGCCGCTCCGCCGCCGCCGCCCGCGCCTCATGGGAGTGGGCGAAACTTCCTGGACGTTGCATTTCCTCCGAGGGCGGCTGACGCCGTTCCCTATGACTTACTTTTTCCTTTCTCGTATACGTGCATATTTACGGAGTATATAATATGTAAGATAAAATAGAAAACTAATACGAGAAAGTATGTGCCATTTGTAGCACCACTAGTTTCTATATTTTTCAGTTGCTAGATAGTGCAGCTACGACTGGACATACTTTTTCACACTTATTTCAAAATTTCAAAAGGAGAAAATTTAAAGAAAAAAATAGGAAGTTTTTAAGAAAAAGTTGTTTTAAAAAAATTAAAATTGCCTACATTTCATGCAATATTACGAAAGACGGTGAGACAGTCGGACGGGCAGACGGACAGGCCGACACTATTCGTGGGCTTCTACCCCACAATTCGCTAACTTTTTCCGGGAGGATAAATCCCCGTAGTGGACCCCTTGGCTTTGCGCCTTTATTCCCATTCTCAGTGGCCAACATGCACGCTTTGGGCTATTGATGTCCCGTGGTCGTGTACAAGACTTCACGAGAAGCCATGCCCGCCTCCGCGGTCATTCTGCCAGAAGGACAAACAGAAAGATGTACAATCGGAGAGGCGATTCGAAAACGTTCGAACCAAACTTTCTCAAAACGATTACAATCTCCCCTCCCTCGAAATTCTTCGTATTGAAAAATTAGTTCAATTCTCTATGATATTCTGAAAGCCAGATTTCGACCAAGATATTTGGGATCCGAAAATTAAAAATCATAGTGAACAATGTGTGTTTTTTGAATAAAACAATATAAAAATATCGATTGTACAGAAATGGAAAGTAAACCATCGCATTAATTCATATGTTCTCTAAATATTTTGTAATGTAGCACCTTTTAACAGTTCGTAAATATTATCGAAAATCTGCACATTTGTGTCTTGGCGCTGTTAAGATTTGGCGCACGGCCGAAATTGGTTGTCTGTCTGTAATTTCGAAAATTGCAAACAAAATATTAACATCATAAAACTACAATATTGTTCACAGAGGTTTTTTCTTGAATGAAATCTGTTCTTCAAAATTCGATCTTGAAACATCTCTGTATTTTGAAAATTGCACCTGCAAATGAATACAGTTTATATGGTACAGCTGGCGATGAAGGGCTGGTGATACGCCTTAGCTTATTAACTCAAAGGGCTCGAGTTGGAATCTCAGTGCATAGAAAAACATTGTGCTGGTTAGGATCATTTTTTCAGGTACAGATACTACTAAAATATTGCACATTTGTTCCGACGAGAAAGTATATGTTGTAGCAACACTCTTTCTCATTGCTTCCTTATAATGTAATGAATAACATGCATATTCTTCTGTGCTTAAATTGGGTAATGGTTACAACACGAAGGAAGAGAGATATATAAAGAGTGGTAGAGAATTGTACATCAAGTCTTTCTGAAGGCAGTGGCTGTTTTAGAAAGTGACTTAAGTACATATTTACTAACCGAGAACCACTGTTTATTGTCAGTAGCCGTTCAATATTGTTAAAACATACGTCTTGGTGAATGAGAAATCTCAAATGTTAGTGTGCACGCAAGAGCAATTGTTCAAAGTAGATTTTACCGTGAACAGTGAAACATTTAGACTAGCAATTAAGGGAATCAAGACTTTTGAAAAATCAAAACTTAATCGATTCAGAAATATGAATGAGGTTTTTTTCAAAAACATGACACAAAACATTATGAAATGACCTAATAAATACTTTTTTGAATGACTCTTTGGATTTTTGTAAACGTAACAGACATCTTGTGTTTACATCCATAAGTTTTGCTATCGTAACAACCTCACATTCACGCTCATATCTACTATTCTGAATAACAAGATTGTCATCCTAAAAAGAGTCCTGGCACGCAACGTTCAACGAAATGTATTCACAAAGACCCACAATACGCAACACGCTACTATTTAAAAAGCTATTATTTTTTAATTGTTTCGTAATAGATAACACATACCGAAATGAAATACGATTATACAAATATATAAAATGCAATTGAGAAAGTTTTTTGGGGGATTGTAATTGGGACAGTTGAAAACGTGAAATATACGGTATGTTACACCTTCTATCAATGAGAGGTAGAGGTTGCCTTACTTTTGCAGTGTTCCGCTGGCTGAGGTGCTGGAACCGATTTTCTGAACCATGGCGGTCTCCTTCTTCATTTTTCTGATGGTGTAGGTGGTGAAGGCCAAACAGGCACCGTTCGCCACCACCAGAAGGGTCATGGGGATGTAGTAGTAGTACATGGCTCCCCAGGTTCTATGCCCTGAAAACCCAAAGTCGACAAACGTGACTCCGGATGTTACAACTACTAAAAGAAATGAAAAGCACGCAGTACAGTTAAATAAGTCAATAAAATTGTTTTAATACATTGTTATTTCCAGATTTGAAAAATGGATTAGAAAATTTCGTCACACCCGCTACAGTTCGCCTTCGAGGGAACAAGGGACGCCAATGGTGTATTGTTTCAGAACGTGAAGTAAGCTGAAAGCATTGTGTAAGCTGAAATAGTTTTTAAATGCGAGGGTTGGGAAGAAGTCATGGCAACTATTTTGTTCTAAAATAAATGTTATCGGATCACACAATTTTAATTGTCACGTGAAAGAAATGATATACTAATGTGTATTCACGTTAGTGAACGTCACGTGTACGTGAAAGATGGAAATACTAATGTGTATTCACAACAACAGATGGCTCTGGGAGTGTTTCTTTTGGCACAGAGCAATATGAAAACAGTTGTCTAACTGCCTCCGTGCGAGATGAATGTTACCAGTTTTAAGCAGCATTCATAGCCTCATAGCAAGACAGCCACTCTCCATGAAATGCCCGAGAATGTAACAGGAATTGGTGGAAGCTGTTGGGAACTTCCCAACCATACCGGACAGTCGCGAGATTGGCAGGAGAGTTTCTGGGAGGACGCGTAGCAACGATGATCAGCAACGCACAAAAATGTGATGTGACACGTACGGTAATCGAGCATCTGGCTAATCGGACCTTTAGAACGGATCAGTAATGCTTCGGGAAAGATGCGAACGCATATTATCCTAAAAGCCTTGAAACACGAAATAAGTATTATCATTTCAAATACCATAATAAATATCAGAAACTAAATTTTGGTGAGTTGTTAAATGCCTGTATACTTAATTCATAGTGTGTCCTTTTATGTGTATATTTCTTGTTTTCCACACGTACTCGTACACTCAAAAAAAGTTGCCATGACTTGTGCAGCAACCCTTGTATTACCGTATTATATATTTACACATTCCAACAGATAAAAAATTGTACTGTATTCCGCTTCTGAGATGTATTTTCAGAACGCCTGCCCTGATCAATAAGTGGTGGTAATTACTGCATACAGTGTGTGCAGACGTATCCACTCGAAATTGGAAATACGAATTGTGATGACCGCAAACAGCGACGTGAGAAAATATTTTAAAATTCCATCCACACGATTAGGAATTACAATTTTTTTTGTATTAGTTCATGCACCAGGCTTTGTCAAAAACTCTACATTTCGCAAAAGGCATTCATAGGGGTTTCTTTATGCTTTTGGAAACTTTAAAGCATTTGGAAATTAGAAACTTTTGTGATCGGCTGCGTAGAGAGAAATATGTTGTTGTTTTTTTTCTTTTCTGGCAGTCTGTATCGGCTTTCGCGGGTCCTGGCAGTTGTCGCTGTAGCGATAAACCAGTTCCTACTGCAATGTCGGAGGCCGGTCGGGGATGACCGCTCCTGGAATAACGGGGATAGGAGTGGCATTGAGAGCCGATGAATTCTGACACAGCAGCAATCGCACTGCCGAATACAATAGTTCCTAGTTGCGCCCGAATACGGTAAATTGTTGGATAAAGATGTATTTTATTTATAGGAAGAAAAATGTGTTTTGTTTCATCAAAATATTCCATAACCATCAACAGCAAACTTTTTACTAGGTAAACCGACTAATCCAAATCCTAGATTTAGAATTTTTTTTTCTAAACATTTATTGACACCTCCATCATTTGCTAACTGCAATTTTTTTAAATTATCTATTTCTTTTCAATTACCTTACGTAAATTGTTTAAATCAATTATTAAAATTGTATAATTCCAAGTACAAAATTTTCAAAATGGTGTCACCCCTAAAATGGTGTCAACACGAGGCCCACCCCTCCCTGACTACACCACTGATGCTCTGTTACCTTTGCCCCCGAAGGTGAGCCTGTCCTCCGAGAGACATGTCCTGGTCTCGATGAACGTGGGTGCCACGAAGCCCTTTTCCTCCACCAGCGTCCTATTCAGGAACATGCTGACGGCCACCGCGGTGAGCAGCGCGGGCGCGCCCCAGCCGTACGCGCTCCATGCGGCCAGCTGCCGAACCAGCGCCCGGCCCTGGCCCCCGGCGCGCGCCGCCCGCGCTCCCAGCGGCTTCCTGTGAAAATAGATGTGCAGTCGAGGGCTCTACCGGCACCGAGGTCTTTCCGCTAAAACTGATCTCCATTACACATACTTAGAAGAGAAAATGTGATGAATCATGTGAAGAGGAGCAATGATATAGCAAGGTTTTTCAGTACCAGGAGCAAAATATTTTCGCCTCCCCCTCTCGATTTTGTGTATTACAAATTATTTGCTTTGGCAGTTGGCCACAAACACGTGCTTTGGCTGTCAACTAGCCGTGTTTTTGAAACCATTTGAGAAATTGTTCATAAATTACTTATTAAAAGTACGAACCTTTTAATACATTTTGCATTTTCAAATAGTATAGAAACTAATGGTGTATTTATCGGTACAGATAGTTTGTATTACATGGTTTCATATTCTTTTTAAGTCCGAGCTCGCTTTTCGATTTTGGCGTACCCTCTACCCAATTGATATTGGCGCTTAAAAGACCCACCAGGCCTCCCGCAGCACATGCCACTCTCCAAGAGACAATTCTCAGTGAAGAGGTGCCTCGCTATCTCGAATCATCAAGCCGAGATAGCATTTAGGCCCATCTCGTTCCAATAATGCAATACGCCTATGGTAACCCACGGCCCCACCTCTGATTTATTATTTAGGCGACAGCAATCCAGTCTCTCAATTACGCCCACGGTCAGATCTCACTTTAAGTACGATCAGATCAAAGAATTACGACCGGGTTAGGTGGCTCAGGGCATCTGTTGATATCACTGCAGTGCATCTGATCGGTAGCGCCTAGGGTTCGAGTCCCGACGGTAGTAGGATTTTCGACACTAGCTACACAGCTTTGTAGAATTGAGCCGCTGTCAGGAGGAGAACTGCTCTAATCCATAGTTTTCAGTGGTTTTGCAAATGCCGGGGCCAAACAATACTCTACGATAGGGCCATGGAACGTTCGCGATCATTTCTTCTTCTTCGTCCTATCCTCGTCCCTAAAACACTCTTGCCCTACACTACTACACGTGCGTGGAGACCTGTCGGGAGCATAGAACTTGCCCGAATCGAGCGGTGCCATACTGGTGAGAGATACGTGGTTGGGGAGAACCTCGCATGCCGATGGGTAGGGCGGAGCCACAACTCGGCATCCAAAAGGGAAGATCACTCGCGATAAAACATACACTACATCTACGGGACTAATGACCAGAGCAGCTGACGCGCCCGGTATCACTAATCAATCAAAAGATTACAAGAGGATTAGGGCGTTGATGTGCGAGTGAGTGGGAATGTGCCCGCGCCCCCAAAAATATTCATGCCCAGTCTTCGAACTCACAGCATTATTTTTCATGCTCGTAAGTTCACCTTCCCTAAGTCTGGAGATCGACTCATTTGACAGAACTATTAGCAAACATGTTACGGTTAAGTAAAATAATATTTAATAAAATAAAAAAGGACATCTGATATTAATGCAAACGTATCTTACAATGCTCTCTGTAACATTGAATCCTCTCTGCAACATTAAAACTATGAATCTCAATGCCATTTGACAACATTCGTTTCCATAACAATGTAAACAAAGTAATTTAATGTTTAAAAACTATCAACATCGCAGATAGTAATAAACAATTTTCTAAAAATTAAATAAATATTTGCGAGTACGATATTTACTGATCGTTTCAATTAACACAGTGGTTCAGCTTTATTTTCTAATTTATTCTTTTTTAATTCATTGAGAGTAATAAAATTGTTTTGAATTGAAATGAAGCTATAGAATATCATAGAGGAGCAACATCTCTTTTTAATAGGCTTTTTTCAGGGGGACGTTTGGAGCTGTTTTAAGAAAATATTGTTAGAGCGGTTTCTTAAATTGAGTTTGTTAGATCGATAGATACCGTGTTGACGATAGATATTCACTGACTGCCGACATCCTAGGTCTGTTTGTGGACCTTCTCCTTGTCCACGGAGAAGGCCCACCCAGGTTTTCCCTGGGATTCCAATATTCGAGTTGTTGATGATTCTTCCTCAGCGGATACAGAAAATGTTGCGCTTGTCGTCGCCGAAATCCATTGCGACGTCCTTTCTAAATAATCGTACTGGCTTTAACATGTACTTTGACTCATATACACACTTTCCGCAAAACTTGAGACTATCCGTTTGTAGGAGATGGGAGAATCTAGGTCTCATCTTCGATGTTTGATACCCGTGTGCAGTCTCGCGTAGAACAGTTGTGTAGGGGAAAGAGCAAGCCTCCTTGAAATATCTCTCGAAGCATCTTAGCATTTCCGAGAGATTTCACCTTAACGGTAATGATTCATAGGCGCATGCAGGCTTTGAAGTACTACTTCTTGATCTTTTGATTTGCGCATGGAACTTGAGAACTTCTCTATCCACTTAAATAGCAAACAGTCATGAGCCTCTTTGCAGTCCATTAAGGCGTCTTGGAAGATCAGCATTTAACTTGTGTTCTATGAAATCATCTTGTCAATAATCATCGTATTTTTGGATCACCTACGATTGCTTTTAAAATACTCGCTTTACTATGTAAATAGTAATAAGAAATTATTGCAATCGTGCGGAGAAAATTGGTCATTTTTTGACAAATAATTTCGTATTATCGAGTAGATAGTAGTGGAGAAATAGTAGATAAATCTTGTCCCTGTATGTACTATGTTAGTACTTCAAGTAAACGTACAACATTTACAGAGTGTGAGAACGTTAATAATTTGGAAGATATGTGGCCAATCCTTTTTTTGACTGACAAATACACAGAACATGGCAAACATTATTAACCCGGCAGAGATCGCATCGTAACTCTGGGACCAAGATCAGTTAATTCATTCTTTCTTTGATAAAATACTGCCCGATAGAAACCTGATTTTCCTTACACTTTAATTTATATTAATTATAGTTGCGGCGTGTTATAAGCGATTACATTTTCCATAGGGGTTTTGAGAAATAAACGTTTTGAGTCGTGCTGAGTCGTGACACGCTGCGAGCATTAATGTAACAAATGTGGACAAAGTTCCAATTGTATATTTACTATTAAATCAAGATTTAGTCCTAAAAAATGTAATAACTTTATCAAATTCAGAATTATGTATTAATTAACTGAAAAATCTGTAATTTAAATACTTTTTAAAGCGCTTGAATCTTTCTCACGAAGAGGATGCAAACGGAAAGTCAGCTTTTTTTTGGGGGGGGGCGGCATTCAATACGTATTGTAATCGTAAAGTAGATGGTAGCAAAGGGAAGATGACTCTGATAATGAACACATAGTTGAAATGTAGTTTATTTACAGTTGCGCTAGAAATTCGAGACGTAAACTACGTTATTACGAATGTCATTGGCATTTATTCTTTCGTAAATTATAAGTGCATCAATAATTCGGAAGTTTAAATGCCACTCTTTTTCAACAATTTGAATCTTTAACTTTCCAGAAATGAGCTCTCTGTTTGTGTAGTATCAAGCAACGTTCCTAAGAATATTATAGACAAAACGTCGAAGTTTGCAGCTTTGCAATCACAAACAAATTTCAAGGTAGGGAAAACAGGTTGATTTGAAGAATTTTAATAAAAAGACAGAAAAACAATATTGTTGCAAGTTTTTTGCTCAAATTTCTTTTCTAAAAGCACATTTCTGTTCTCTTGCAGGGTCGCTTGAGCAAAGCGGTATGTCTCTATAATAAATATTATTAACAATCCTTTGTTTATACGTTTAACAATAGTTTCAAAAGAAACGCTTAGAATAATGGCACTGGTCTCTTTTTGGTTGACCTCGTCGAAATTAGAAATAAGGCGAAAAAGTCCGTGCTGTTGTAGCAACACGTTGTTGTTTTATATTGCGTCAGAACGTTTTGAAGAAGAGTTTTTTCCTTATCTTCAGGCTACTAGGAAACACAAATAACAAATTTAGCAAGGTCACCGACAATTAAGTATATCGAAATACATAAGGTTAAATACACTATTACACATACTAAAAACTTTGAAAAAGATGTAGAAAATGTTGTAGCATTCTATATAGAAATGTGGAGACTCACCATTCACAAACAGAAAATTATGAATATAATGAAAATAATTCAAATAAATAGCACGCAGTGAAAAACCTCTTTTGACATGGCGGCAGCATATGACATTTCAATTTGTCGTAGCGAGTGGAAGAGACGACGAGCTGAGTCACTGGCACGAAGTAGAGGGGGAAATATTGTGAGAGAGGGGAGGGGGAGAGTGCATGAAGACTAACCTCCGTGGATAAAAACAATGTAATAAGCTAACAAGGGATGTCTTTTTAACCGATGTTGAAAGGACTCCGTCCAGGTAGCCTATTTATCTGGAAATTTTAACAAGACAGAGTCGTAGAGACCCATTAGCGTATTTTATTCAACTTGGATGTTGAGGCTATCCGATTTTTATATGTGTTTGTAGTTTATTCTTCTGGCATCGATCCAACATCCTTAAGATGGTTCTGTTTTAATATGCGCATCTTTAGAAATACTTATATAGAATGGTTACTATTCGTAAATAAAATAACGTCCCAGTAGTGATAAAGGTGTGGTCGGGAGTGTGAGGCTGGAGCTAAGATGTTAAATCAATAAAAATTATAATGAATAAGAGAACAAAACAAAAAGTCGACAGATATTCGGACCACATTAAGGATTTGATACGGTGTAGTTTCAAAGTATTCGATTTACATGTAATTAAGAGTTTGTGTACTTACTCTTTCTGAAGACAAGGTTTGCAATGAAATAAACCACCATACTACTTTAGTGAATTGATGCACTTTATATTCAAATCAAATATTTGCGAGATTTTGATTCTTACCAAACCACTGTCACTTTCAGTTTGAAGTATTAGTATTTTCGGAATGAAAATAACTATTGGTGTCATAAAAAGTACTCTGTTGTGAACTTGTCAGCAATTTCTTTTGCAAATACCTCAGTACGAAATGCAGACAGACTCGAATTCTTGTGTCAGTCTGGCTGTAGGCGCCGTAGTGTGAGCATCGTTCTACCCCACCTATCGCTGTGCCGGTGCGTCACTCACCTCGTGTCCAGTTTCAAGTACTAACGGGCGCCGCTACCAGCGGCTCTCCATTTTTAAACAGTGCATCAGTGTTTATTGTACGCAAAACAAAATATTTTACTGCTCAGTGAACGACTAGTGGTTCAGCGAAATATGTGTGTGCGCAAAAGGTCCCCCCCTCTTGGGTATCATTTGGTGTCAGGTAGTCAAGTGCTAAATGGTGATACGCCAGATCAGTGCACAGTAACGATTGGAGGTGTGCTTCCATTCCCACAGACAAAGATGCAAGATAATCAACCTAATTGGCATTTCCATACGACATCACGACTGCCCGCGGCTAGATGGAGAAACGCAAAGGACACTGACCAACCTTCAGCCAGTAAGCACTAGCGACGCTAGTTTTAACAGGTATGGTGTTACCCCGCAACAATTTACGCTACTTTTAACATTCTACTAGTAATTATATTGAATAGTAAAAGCATAAAACGTATGCACGTAGATCTGTCAGACGAAAACAGTGGCCCTAAAAGAATAGTGTGCAATGTATCAGTTCAGAAAAGGTACTAAGGTTTTTAACTTCATCGAAGAAAACTCGCGAAAAGAAAGGAATGAAAATGAAGAAACAATCAGTAAAATATTCCTCTTTTATTTTCATAAAGTGTTCGACTACCCCTTATTTATCAGTGAAATGGAATCTCTTGCAAAATACATTTTTTCTCGGTTTTTTTCTTCAGCTTTCAGGGAATGCCGATTTGTTATTCTCGCCGGGTATTCACCATGTCCCTCATTAGGACACGAATATCCATATTTTACTAGATATACTATTATACTAGATATATTTTCAGGCTCCTTGGTCCGTGGTCAGCAGATTCCTAAGGCCTTTCGCGACAACAAACATAAATGTAAGACAAGCAACCAATAATCACAAATAACCTTGCCCACGGAGGGACTCGCACCCGCGGTTCTTCCGACGAAGGCGCTCGCTCTAGCTGAGCACACGTTCTAGCCACCGCAAAATACAATATTTTAACTACATTAGAAAAGATCCTATAAAAATTAAATTTAGCACAATGTTGAGAATAACAGAAATGTTGTAAAAAGAGAAAATAGAACTTCACACTTGTAGGGACACTACCCAAAAAACTTTTTCAGAAATTACAAAGATCTTCCAATTAACTATCCAGAATCAGAAATATTTAAAGAACTTTCGAAAACTTTCAAATTATAAAGTTGTTAGGCTTTTTGAAAGAGAACGTAAACCGTTAACTACCATTTCAGCGGGTTTAACTGATAATGCAGATAAAAAATCAGTTTTACGAACTAATAAATTTGTATGCAGCACCGTTAGAGTTAAAATTCGCTGTAAAGCCTAATGCCCCAATCATACGTAAATATTGTCAGAATTTCGGTCATATACAAGCAAATTGCGGTACACCTTATTGTGTGAGATATAACAAGAATCAGGCGAATCAAAAATTTTCAACAAACATATCGGCTAACATGCAGTACTCCAATCCCCAAAAGGATCGGAACGCTCCACATTATCATTCAACCCCTTAAGAGTCCCCCCTCTACCGCTTAACCCAACGCCCTTGTAAATATTCGCTTATGGCACTCGTCAGCCCCAAGGCCAGATAACAGAAATGTTCCTCCAGTTCTCCAAAATGTGAATGTAATCAACGAAAACCTGATTCAAACTATTACAAATAATGTTATTTCTGTCATTCCTCTTTACAACAAATCACTGAAAGACTTATATCTATGCATATAAAGGACTCAAACTTAAATATAAAACTTTAAACTCCTAAACTGCAATGCAAATGGCGTAAATAGTGAAGAAAGCAAATTAAGATACTTTCTACAAAATCATAACATAGATGTTGCATGTATTTCAGAACCACATCTAAAGCCGGGAGAAGAATTTTTGACCCCCAAATATTTATCCTACCGCAATGATAGAATTTCTATATGGTTTCCGGTGGAAAATTAAGTATACGAGAACACTGATACCTCAAACGAAATAGAAACGATTATTCAGAAAATCTAACGTATTTGTGATAGCAGCATATAAACCACCCAACAAAAAGTTTCCGTTCAGCTACATGAAAAGATTGTAAATGGTAGATCACAAATAATACTAGCAGGAGACCTGAGTTGTAAAAAACAAATTTGGAACTGTACTACTCATTCATATAATGGCAAACGTTTTCAGAAATTTGCACTGCAAAGGAATCATTGTACGCAATAGATGTACGCATTTTGAAAACTTGATTGACAATATCCCCTCTAACTCTAGAAAAATGTGGAAAAAATTGAAATTATTAAAAAGGAAATTTATTCCTCGGTTACTATCTAACGCAGAATTAGCAACGACTCATTACCCAAAAGGAGAAACGTTAGCGCAACTTTTTGAAGAAAAAAATCTATAATTAACCCATGTAACCGACCCGGATAAATACCTTTCGATGTCTATGAACCAATTTGACAGCCATCTGTAGGTTATTCGTAGATAAAACTCAAAATCTTACGGACATTATTCAAAGAAAAATATTTGCCAATGATTATGTCGTATGTAGAACTAAACAAAAGTGACGAATACATAAAGAAGAATGGTTTAAAAATCGCGGCCCCAACATAAATAAATAGTGATCATTTTAAGAATGTTTTATCAAGGAACGATGACCGTGGAAAGGAGTGCAGGCAGGGTGCGTCGCTGATGTTTACTCACCTAAAGCCTCGGGCCATGTTGATGGACACCACGTTAAGCCACACCCCGGAAGCCACCAAGAAGTAGTAAATGGCGTATGCTGCAACACCACACACGAAGAATTCACTACGTAGTAAATATAATATTTATTTTAGCAATATTTAATGTATTAGTAACCCTTTGATCAAATGAGAGTGTACGTTTCCGTGGCCGGAGTCGGAAGCTACTTGGCTGTCCGGAAGACGCCGCCGCGTCCACGGCATATTTCCAACGTTTCCACCGCCATTTTTTGCCCTGAAAAAGGTCACCGAATGGTGGCGGTCATGTTGGCACCTGTACCTAGGACCACCTAGACAGCCAAGTAGCTATCACTTGTACGATATAATTCAAAAAGGTTTCAGCTTCTGGTAGCTCAGCTTCTGGTAGC